AGTCACAATATATAAAGAGTTAGTGAAAAAGGGTGATATTCTCTTATTCTCCCTTCCATTCCTAAGCTTTTTATTCTTTGTTCAAAGTCGAGATCCTATTATATTCATTACTTTTCCTTCTTTTCCTCCACGCTGTAATTTTTACTTTTTAAACTTGTTTTATTTTACAATGTGTCATGGACACACCTCCATAGATAGACCTAGCTGGATCTAAGATGTCCTTTAAAATGAAGGTATAATATTCCATAACAAAATATAAAGTCTATTCACACGATTTTCTCCTATGGGCTTTCGGATGATTTCCAATGCTTCAATAAATCTATTTGCCATGGAATTAAAATTCTGTTAAGAATCACCCTGTGGATTCAGATTCTCCTGCAGTGATTTCCAGGGCACTGACATACTCACTCAGGAAGACAGTTTTCTCAGTAGAAAGCTCCATTTTCCCACAGCCTTGTGGGGCTGGGCTGGGAGAGCTGTCTGGTCTGCCCAGGGTGGAGAATGACATCTTGGTCACTCAGCATCAGGGGCAGGCTCTAAAGGAAGATGGTCCTGTGTGTGAGATTGGACATAGGGAGGCAGGCTTCTTGCTTGGGGGCCTTGTATGGCCAGTTCTGTTTTTGATCTTAAAATGTGGTTAACAATCTCCCAAAAAGGGGGGGGGATTAAATAAGAGAGCTTGTACCTGAAATAATAATAATAATATAAAGATAAAAGCAAAGATTTCCAAAATAGCAGCCAGCCAGTAGCTAAGAAACCTTGAAACAACCCCCAAGCTCAAAAGTTCTCCTGCCATGCTGAAGGCCTAATCCATGGGCCACCCTTTAGAATTTCTCGTTCAGTATGCAAATTCCAACTCAATATCCCTTTGTCCTGTTTCATCTTGGTAAAGAAGTTGATCTATTTTATTGAATACAAGTAGCATTTAAATATTTGAAATAGCATATCTTGTTATATTTTTATCTTATTATGTTAATCACAGTTTTGGACTGTCAGACGAGTCAACATTAAGATATGCATGGAGCTGGTCTTCCAAGCCTAGCACAGTTATTAATAACTTGTTTGCAGTGATTTAAGAAGATGCTTCACATCTGATCATGGCTTGGTGGCTTCTTCCAATGTAATATTAGTTTGCTGGGCAGATTGGAGGCCTGGAAATGAGTTCTACTTCCAAACTGGGCTCTTCTCACAAACTTTTAGAAAGAAATTTCTAGCTCAAACTTTCCTATCATGGGATGGCTCACAAGATAACCAAACATTCAAACGAGGGAATAACATGGTGAAAAGACTCCATTTACACACACTCCATTTACACACACACACAAACATAATTACACACACACACACACACACACACATTTCCCTATTTAAAAAATGAAAACAGAATCTAAAGTAGCTTTCGTGAGCGGCAGGTGAGCAGTCCCTGCGGGCAGTTCCTTTCCCAGGAGGGCTGCAGGTGGCTGTTCTATGGCGACAGCCCCAGGCCTTAACCTCTAGGGAAGGTGATCGCTAGTGTCTGCTAGCCCAGCCAGGCTGCCGGCTCCCTCCTTTCCCAGTGCTCTGATGTGTAGTCTGGGAGCCCAGCCCGACTTCGGCAGCCAGGGCTTCTTGGCCTGGGCACCCCAATAAGGACCGACTTTGAGATGGCCATGAGCGCGGTAGGAGGAGACTGAGGAGGGAATCTCAGAGGAGAACCGTAGCTATTTGGATCCTGTCCTCAGCTGCGCTCCCATCCCCGGACTGGGCAGGAGGGACAGTCAGGGCTAATTCTTCCACTTTCCCAGGCCTCCTCTGTCCTTGTTAACAGTTGTTGAATTTGGGACTACGTCGTCCGGTCCCCTGACACAAGGGAAGTTTTCTCGGCAACCCAGTTGACCTTTAATTTGATGCTTCGGCAACTCCCTCGGTGTGGGGCTGGAAGTGGCGTCACAGTATTCGTGAGCCACGTTCACCTTTCTCATTACGGTGTCCCGGGGGTGACTTAATCTCCCTTCTTGTAAGCAGCAAAAGTGTCTGCAGTGTTCCTGCCGCCTTTTGAAGGACAGTGGATGGATGACCGCTGTGCTTTTACCCCAGTGTCAGTCATATGGCCAGTGTCTCGGACCCTGGTACCTACCGATGCTCCCTGTGTCACATTCTCTGTGGCCTTTGTGCTGGGGCGGTGGGCTACCGCCTGGAAGGGCTCATCAGGGGAAAGGATCCCCAGCCTGTGGAAGAGGAAAAGAGCATCGGGAATATCGCAGCTGGATGAGCTGCTAGGCAAGGACCACGCCCAGGTGGTGAGCCTTAAAGAGGAGCTGGAATTGCCCCTAAAGCCGTCCCGAATAGAAACCGCCTGGAGAAGAATTAATGGACACAGGGCCTTATGGCCCTACTGTGGGCCATGACTGGTCCTGGCACCATGTCCACGCAGCTCCAGAACCCACATCTGATTCGCTTTGTTGTTTACTCTGGCCCCTCCCTCGCCACACAACCACACACACTGGCCAGGCAGACACAGCAGCAGCTGGGGGTCCAGGGAAGAGGAAGGCTCTTGAGGGTCTGGCCAAAAGCCTGCAGCTGTTCTGTGGTGGCCGCGACTGCGCAGCACCCCAGCTTGGGGTAGACTTCCGCGACGAATGTTAGGAAGTGAACAGGCTGCCAGGCTCCACGGAGAGGTGGTCTGGCCTCTAATGGGAATGGCTTTGGGGAGGGATGCCTACATATCCGGTTCCAGTTTGCGCTGGGAAGAATTCAGAAATCTGCGTGGCTCCCTTCACGAGTTGGCGCTGTCGCTGGTGTTCATTCTTACTGGAATTTTGTCTCGTCAGCTCAGGAATGGGATTCTAGGGGGAAAGCCGGTGTTTTTCTATTCTTCCACGGGAAACCCAGGCTGCTGACTTTGGTGGGGGCAGGAACATGTACTTGGTGAATGGGCTTGAAAACAATCACCCTTGTCTGCTCCATCACTGTATAATGCAAAATTTGATTAAAGTGACATCTGAGAACTATAAAAAAAAAAAAGGTAGCTTTTGTATGGCTGTCTATATATATCACAGATAATTTTAGAATAATTCATGCCCTCTTGTTTTCGGTGAACTTTAACAGAATTTGTATCTCTGAGTGTTAGTTTAGGAGCTGTGCAACTTTACATGAGTCTCTTAACCTCTCTGAGCCCCAATTTTCACATCAGCGAAGTGAAGATCACACCTCACTATCTCATAGGATTATTAGAAGGTTTAAATGAGGTAAAATGCTTCGTAATATTGAATAAACCCTGGTTTCCCTCTAAAATGTGAGAGGCCTTCCAGTAGGAGGGCAGTTCTTGTGAGGGTTAAAGAAGGTACATAGGCGGGTAGAAAACTTAGTGAAATATGAACAGTGATGCCTATAATCAAACATATGACTCTACGGTTGCGAAGATTTTCTTTCTTCTTTACATCATTAGTTCTTCACAAGAATCTTGTGAATTAGACAGGCCGGTTGTTATACCTATGTGGGGAAGTAAATGTCACTCACAGAAATTAAGTAGATTCACCAACATCTCCTTGCGAGTCTGTAATGGAGCAAATTCTTCAACTAACTGTTCAGGGTTCTTTTCATGACTTCCAGCTATCTGCCAATTCCAGATAAGTAACAAATATCAGTTGGAAGTCTAATGGATTCTAACATTGTTTCTGAACACAGAGCTTTGCTCTCAGATTTCCCATGAACCCTGGAAAGAAAAGAATAGTTGTGGAATTAATAGAATCCCTCCTTTCTTGGGAAATTCCAGATTATTCTTGGACTCCTAAGAGCTACATTAAGCTCAATAGCCATTTCTCACGTGCTACAAACCAAAGATGTTGTGTTTCTAATATCAAATTCATCATGTTCCCTGACTATCTCATGTCATTTGTAACATATCCTGAATTGAAGCTAACTATTTGGAAAGGGCTCTTTTCAATCTGTTTGCTCCAAGTAGTCCAGGGTTCACATATGTCTGCCGTCTTCAGTGGCACAAATGGTTATCGCCCTCCTTTGGTCGACAATTTGCACATTCAGGGTTATGATTTCTATCTTTGTACACATCTGTTCTTTCTCCCTTTTGAGAGTACAAGTCCCCTAAAGATGGAGAATGTACCATCCCTCTGTACTCTCAATGCCTAGCTGAGAGCTTGGTATTTAATAGCCTCTCAGTACATTCTTACGGCTTCTGCTTCTTTGGAGATTTCTATTCAATATCGACTTCTTAGGAAAGATTCATTTGAAAACATCATAAAAAGAGGCTGCGTTTTAGAATAGGCAATACCTGTTACCGCCCTCCTTATACAGTGAATGGCCCTTTCAGAATTCTTTCTTAGAGAGAGACAATTGCTAGGAAGATAAAACAGGCTTAGGAAAGCACTAGTAACTATCATGTCCACTTGAAGGCAAGAATAGGTAAAATCGTTCCCCCATTCTCTCACATAAACGTGAGTTTATTGAAAATAATGCAAGACTAGAAAAGACTGAAATATATGACTTTCTCTGGGGGGAAAAGAAACTCTTTGAGATGAAGTTGAATTTCTTATTTCTAAAGAGTGGGAACAGAATGTATTTTGTTTGGTCTCCACAAATTATAGTGATTTGGTTTCAGCCCGAACAAGCAGCACAGGCAAATTCTGGCAGGCAGAGTCCCTACAGGAGTGGTCAAACAAGTCAGTTTTCATTTCCTTCCAAGCCCTGCTTTGGCTGATCCATCCATAGAAAAGCAGAACAAAGGCAAGGGATTACTGCACCCTTAAGCATCCAAGTGGCTCATTCGGCTCAGGAGTTATTTTTAGCGATCTGGCTGACACAGAGGACTTCCTGCTCTATTCAGCCAATGTACAAATGGAAGCTCCTGGACGGTGAAGGTGGACGCTGATGAAGGTTGTGATCTGTGACTAGACTCCCAAGGGGGGTTTTGATCTAGCTATGCCTTTCAACCACTGTGGTGAACATTAGTTGGGAACAGGCTTATCCTCTTCTTCATGTGCATGTTCTATTTGTAGATGTTGCTATGAAGACAGATCCACCCAAAATGACCGATGTGGAGTCTGGGGTCCCCAATTTTGCATCTTCATCCAGGGCAGGCCGCCGGAACGCCGTGCCAGATATCCAGAGCTCGGCGGCCACGAGTGGAACCTCAGATCTGCCTCTCAAACTGGAAGCTCTCTCTGTGAAGGAAGGTAATACTCCAAATCCTCTTTAAATCCGCAGCGCTTCTCTCTTCTTAACCAATCCTTTTCTCTGAGTTCAGAGGTTTTTTTGTTTGTTTGTTTTAAGTTTGTTTTCTTCAATCTCTCAGTTTTTGTTTAAGGCTATGTAGATTTTTCAGCAATTTTATCTTCCTGTTTCATGATGTGTTTTTGGAAGCTGAAGTTTTATTCACTAAATTAGTACAATTATGCATAAGGCTAATATTTGGGAGGGAAAATGTAAATAAATATGATCCTTCATGTAATAAGCTTACAAAATTGATACACAAACACTCAAGTAAAATCATTTTCCTTCTGTCATCCATTGACAATCACTTTGGAAGCTTCTGCTTCACCGGAAGCCCTCCTATTGTTTTTTCTTTTTTTTTAGAGACAGAGTCTCACTTTATCACCCTTGGTAGAGTGCTGTGGCATCACAACTCACAGCAACCTCCAATTCCTGGGCTTAGGTGATTCTCTTGCCTCAGCCTCCTGAGTAGCTGGGACTACAGGTGCCCACCGCAACACCCGGGTATTTTTTTGTTGTAGTTTGGCCAGGGCCGGGTATATGGGGCTGGTGCCCTACCCACTGAGCCACAGGCCTGCCCGAGCCCTCCTATTCTTCATATCTGGGAAGAAATTTACTATCAACTAGGGATGGGATCTTTAAAGTGAAACTTTGTATGAAAGGGAAGCTTTCTCCAACCAGATGGAAAAGGTGGCATGAAGAGAAAACGGAGAGCAATCAAACTATGAACAAACTATAAAAAAAGAACAAACAAAAAAAAAACGAGTCTTTCTCTCCATGGCTTACCTATACTTTATATAGCTTCTAGAGTTAGTCGACCAAAAGTAAATATAAGGATACTTTCAATAAAGTGCTGAAAGTGTTCCTCCATGTAAAAACATTCAGAGAGATTTAGAAAAAGAATTGCATGAATCAGAGTGAAAAAATTACCTGTAGAGATTAAAGATAACTTTATTTCCAAACCATTGGCAACACACTTGTGCCTTGTACCCTATTTTAGAGTCTCAAGTGGACTCCAGTATGTGTGTAGAAATTCATTCTTGGTAGCCATGATGCAAGGGAGAGCCAGAAGCTACTCACATCTAGTTCATTCCTGGGAGCCAAGAAGAGTGGTCTCGGTTCTTTGACTCAGAAGGTTATATAGTCCCCTGGTAAAGTTGCAAATATTCCTGGTTTTATTCCTATGAAATATTTATATTCTTGTTAGCCAGGGACTATAGGCAGATCCTGCAGTCCATGGTTCCTTCACCTTTTCCCGAAGACCACTGAGTTTTTCATATAGGACACTGCACGTGAGATTATAAAAGCACGTATATACACATAAAATATTGTGAGAAGAAAGAAAAGGGAGAAAAGATAAAGGGAAGAAAAGAAATAAAAACATATGTTTTGGGCCTTTTAAGTTTTTTTTTTTTTTTTTAGGTTCAGAATAAACCTCTTTATTTTATAGACTATGGCTTCTTTTCTGTTGACATTTAGAAAAAAATAGAATCCATTGATTTTTTAATCAAGAAGGTAGAATCGAAAGAAAGCTCTTAGAAACATCAGACTTCCATATGCATGACGGTGAACATTCCTCTTGAGATCCATAAGCAATGGAGTTGTTCCGTTTATTTGAAACTGGGCATGCCAGTATCCCCGTGTATCTTTCTCCAGTTGATTTTTTTCACCCGACAAGAAACCTTCAAGCCCTTGCTCTGAAAACTTGTGGTTGAGCCCGTGTATCTCACCTCCGGCTTTTCATGCCATCTTATGCTGATGCTTCGCACTTGCAAACATGGCTTGGGTGCCCAGCATGTGTGAGATTTCCTTTTTCATTATTGCATCCAGCGTGTCCCGGAGTGGGGCAGGCACATGCATGTGAAAGAGCTTCTCAGGGAGATTATTTTAAATGTGTATCTGAATGTCTTAAGACATCTAAGCCCTGTGCAGTTCTTTTGCTTCTGGGAAGGCAGAGCAGCGTGATCTGTTTGAAGGAGGTCAGTCTCCACCCTCCTCTGTTGTCCTTCTTCTCTTGTTAGAAAAGCTGTTTCTTCACCTGGCCCCGGGACTATCATCTGGAAATATTATTATTAGGAGCCACATCAGTTTTCTGTCTTCTGTTTCAAACTCATTAACAGCTCTTCACTGAAAATATACTCTCTGCCTCTCTTTCTCTCTTGCCGTGAGTCACAGTGGCTTTCTTGGAAGTGATAGACCATATAATTCTCACATGTCAAGGTTCTAAGCCAAAGCCCTCAGGCACTGCTTCTGATTTTCTTGAAGGATTAAAAATGAAAGATCATAACCCTCTCAGAGAGGGGCTCCTACAGCACCTGCTTGGCGCACCTGTCACCCCGGGCCTTTTAAGTTTTAAAATGAAATATAACTATCAAAACATGATATTGCCATTGAAGGCCCGTTCTAAACCAGTGAGAATCAGTAGTAAAGAAGATCATTACTTGGTAGTGTAAAATGCCTGATTAAAATTTATGTTCTTTAACAAACACTTACAACCTTAATGTTTATTGACATGATGTATTTAAGCAAAAGACAGCAAATATATCTTCAAAGAGTCTATAGTCTAGATTTTATTTTGATTACCAGAGATAGCAGAATCTAAAAGCAAATTATTCCTGGCTTTATATTTTTCTTTAAATCATTTTGAAATACAGTCAAAGGCATCACTTAAGAAACTTGAGATGTAAATGTTCTTCTTAGCAAAGTATCACAAGAAGGGAAAAAAAAGTATCCAATGTACACAGCCCTATTATGAAACTAATTTATAGATCTCAAATGAAAGCTACAACCTAATTCTAGCCTAAGAATATGGGGAGGGGGTGGAAAAGGGGAAAGGAGAAGGGCAGACGGGTGGTGGGAGGGTGACTGGAAAAATCACCTATATGGTCTGTCTAACAAGGGTACAAGTGAACTTTACTAGAACTAGAGTATAAATGTTTTAACACAATAAGTAAATGACACAAAGTCTACGTTAACCAGTTTGATGAAAATATTTCAAATTGTATATGAAAACACTACACTGTACCCCATGTTTGCATTAATGTATACAACTATCATTTAATAAGAAAAAAAAAGAAACTTGAGATGTTAAAAATGAATCTACATATAGCAGCAGATGTTAAAGAATACACAAAAGGAGGGAGGCCATTGTGTGAAGGGAAACAAGCCAAGGGCAGAAAGACAAATGCTACATTACCCCACTTCGGTGCAGAGTCTAAAAAAGTCAAACTCCCAGAGGCGGAGAAGGGAATGGTGGTTATCAAGTGCTGGAGGATGAAGGAATTAAGATGCTGGTCAAAGGAGATAATAGTTTAGTTAGACCAAAGATACAAATTCAAGAGATCATTGTACAACATGGTAGCACTAATAACACTGTACTGTATACTTGAAGATTGCTAAGGGAATAGATTTTGAGTGCTCCTACCACACACACAAAGTTAAGTATGTGAGATAATGGACATATTAATGAGCTTTACTTAACCATTCCCCAATGTATGCATATATCAAGACATCATGTTGCACAGCAGAAATATACTATGTATATAATTTGGCAACTTAAAATAATAAAGATAAAATAATAAAGAAGTAGAAAAAAAGAAAAACATACACAGAAAGAAATCAACTTACATAGATAGATGCCCTAAACCATGTCTTACTAATAAAACTATAAATAAATAAGGAGCTAAGCACAAATGTTTTGAAAGATTTTTAAATGAATAGTTTCCAACTGTTAATGAAAACAGTCTGTCTCAGATGTTAAGGTTTCAATATTTTTACTATTTAAAAATACAAATTCTGGGGAAGTTCTGAAGGTTTCACTTACCCCTATGCGCTTTTGTTTTTAGTTTCTGGGTTTTTTTTTTTTTTTTTTTGGATAAATCTGCTTAAATAGAAGGAAATATAGGGTCTCAAATGTCTGGCAACTTGCATGAAATTAACCTGAGATTTATCCAGTTCTTAATCTTCTTAATCTATCCCTTTACAAACTGATAACAATGATAGGGAGAACAATGATGCCTTATAACATAGCAGGAAACGGAAGCAGAGGGTGTCATCTGAAAAACTATAAAAGGCACAAAGGACACTTTTTTTTTTTTACGCCAATCATTGCTATTTATTAGATACCTGATTCAACTTAGGGCCCACTAAGTGTTAGGCACCATGCTAAAACCTGGCAGTGTAGTGGAGAATAAGACAAGCATAAACTGCTGTCCTCACGGCCCTTCTATTCTAAAGGGAGAGTGAGAATATACGCAAATGTCAACAGTAATGTGTTTGACTGGAGAATTAAAATAAGATGCTATGACAGAGAGACACTAGGTGGCTTCTTCAGATTGGGAAATCAGGGAAGCCCTAACTAAAGTCAATGCCAATGATGAATGGTCCAATTGCACGACGATCAGAGGAAGTAGCATTCTCTGCAGAAGGGGGTTCAGTAAATGTTCTTGGGGGGCAACAAGATGGAAGTTGTCAAGAAACATAAAAGCCGGCCCCTGCTGCTTGAGGACGGCAGCAGGTGAGATAATGGTATGGATGATGGAGGAGGGATAAGCAAGGACTAGGTGTTGTGGGGTTTTATAAATCTGGAGGAAAAAAACTGACTTTTATTTGGAGTGGGAGGATTTATTTTTATTTTATTTTTTATTTTTGCAGTTTTTGGCCAGAGTTGGGTTTGAACCCTCCACCTCTGGCATATGGGGCTGGTGTCCTACTCCTTTGAGCCACAGGCACCACCCTGGAGTGAGAGGATTTTTAGCAGGGAAATGACATCTCATTGATGTTTAACATTCGCCCTTATGTGAAGAATGAATTGTGGGATAGCAATAATGGAACTGGTAGAAGTAGGAGATGCAACTCCCCTTTATTAGATCATTTTAGGTCATATTAAACACTCAGCTCACAGGAACACATTGGCGCCATTCTACTCAGAAGTAAAGAAAAGAAGCTCAGAGGGCCAAGAGGGCAGAAACAGAATCTTCTGCGGGAGCCCTTGCAGCAGTCCCCGCAGGCGTGGGAAGAGCAGTTGATAAAGGGAACTGAGCAGAACACAAGGATGAGAAGAGAAAAAGCTACAAAAGGACTATTCTGACTTATTTGAAGTCTATATTAATCAGGAGTATAATTCAGTTGATAGTTCAAGTGGTATGTTACTAAAAGATACTTGGAATTCTTATTTAAAATAATACAGGTTACTACCTAAATCCATATAAAATAAGTTTTTTTCCAAGCTGGACTTCTGGAGAACACAATTAAGATAATTTAGGAACCCAAATTTTCTTGCGTTCTCCAAAATTCTCATTAATTATGACCAAGAGAATGAGAGAACCAGTTCCATAAAGCTTATTCACATTTGAAATGAGAGGGGAAGGTTTGAAAGAAAAGCTGGTTGTTGCACTCTTAGAGAAATTATGTAAAAAATATATTGACAATATATTTAATTATTTTGAAAACACTTGACAGGTACAGCCAGAAGAATAACAATAATAATAACTATCCTTGAAAGTGCATTACATATGAGAAATCACCTTTGTATTTGACTACTGTTTTTCTTTCATTAACATCAAAATACAAAGTTAACAACAACCGTAATCTCTTGTAGAAGTTTATTTTTTTTTAATCTTCAATATCTTCTAATATATTTCTAAACATTCTGGAATAAGAGGTATTTGGAACTATGCTTCATATTTTAGCTGATAATCCTAAGCAAGATACTAGATCTTCAACAGATTATATCCTGCTGGACATCATGTAGTCAAGATTATCTTGAGTTCCTAGTTCATTCCATAGGAAGAGAACTAACGACTTAAGGGGACTTTATATCGACATCACTTCATTTTGCTAACTTTATAGAGATGGCAGAACTAACAGCTTTTCTCTGAAAGCTGTAATACTTTGTACATGTAAATAGTTTGCTTGGAATCAGTGGTGGCAAATATCACGTAAATCATTGTGGAAACAATTTAGTGCTTTGTATTTTGTAGAGCTAAAGAGTGCCATTTTTTAACAAGCCTGCTTTCCTGGGGACTTCTTTCGATACCACTTATCATACACCTGCTATGTCACTCAGAAGGCAACCGAGTGTGACTGCTATGACATTAACTCTCTCCAGTGACCGTCCCACTTCTTGACTCTCTTGAAAGAGTTGCCTGGTTTTGTGCTTCCACGTCCTCGTAGTCCCATTCTTTAGCTAAGCCTATTATGATTTTTACTCCACCACAGCCCTCACTGCTATTTCTTTTTTTTTTTAAGTCTTTCGTACATAGATCATAAATACATTTATGCCATTATAGGATTCAACGTGTTGATTATTTGTACAAATTGGAGGGCTTACATCCTACTAACCAACATAGCCTTCACCACTTTTACCCAATTACAGGATTAAGACATTTGTCTCTACACCTGTTAGATCCAACTTGTACTTGCAATATGCTCCACAGGTGTGGTCCCCCTACCAACCCTCCTCCTATCGACCCTATTTCAACATCACGAATGGCGCTGTCTCTGTTAAATCACTGCTCCTCATTTTACACCATCTCTTGGCACGTTTGTAGGGTTGATTGTCACTTTATTCCCCCAGCATTTTTCTTCCGTTGGCTTTAGAGACGCTCTGGTCTCCTGCTTTTCTTCTTGCCTCGCTGGGTGCTCCTCCTTGGGCTTTTCTTTCCTTGTCCCCCCCAGCACCCCCCGCCCCCGGTCTCCCAACAGATTGGAGAGGATCAGAATCCAGGCTTTGAATTTGAAAAGTGACTGGAAAGTGTGAAGAAGCTGGAGAGAGTGCGGTCCAGCACAGGGAGATGGTTACGGGCACGGACCATGGAGCCAGTAGGCCCAGGTCCAAGTCGTGACTCTGTCACTTCCTGGCATTGTGACTTTGGGCAAATCACACTATTTGTGCTTCAGTTCACTAATGAAGTTTGTAAGAAGTCTGACCGGTACTTCCTAACCCTGTAGAATGGGAAGGACATCTGATGTGGAGAATGTCGATTTCCAGGCCTATTCATAGCTCCCATCTCTGTATAATTTCTCTGTCTGGATTGAGGACAAAATATGTCCTGGTCAAGCATCTTCTGTAGGGTGAATAAAGGAAAAATGAACTGTTTCATCCTAATATATTATAAAATACATTTTAACATATTCTGCATATGAATGGAATTTTTTTCAGATGTCAAAAAGAAAGATGAAGAAACAACACAAGACCAGCCGGAAAAGCCCCAAAATGAAGGAAAATAAAGGCTTATAATCTATCAAGAGTGCTGATTTTTACCCACTGAAAGACTTAGTGGCTCTCTTTTCCTGAGATGGTTGATCTGGTGGTAACTATGGTAACGCTGTAACCCTGAGCAACATGTGTATTAGATAATTTTGTTGTGACACTACTCACTTGGATTGCAACACTGATATCCGGTGGAGGGTGGTAAGAGGCTGGTTGCTTTCAAATTGCACCCAAGGAAAAGGTGAAAAATGCATGATCACTTAAATACTTGTCATTGTCCGTATACCTGGCAAAATTCACTGTTTTCTTTGGGATTTATTTAAGTAGATGTATTTTTAATTTAATTTTTTATGGTGATGGAAAACCACTTCTTATTGAATGTAAGCCAAACAACATTAATTTAAAACCTTATGAAATTTGTAGGAAATTATGTTTTTTGATGAACAGTAGAACAGTCAAAGCTCACATGAATAGAATGTTCTGAATCAACAATGTACTAGATTTCCCCCCAAACCTTAAAAAGGATTTGGAAAAATCGTAAAAATTGGACAAAATAAACATCTCTTGTTTATTTTTCTCTGATCCATTTTGCTTCTAGTCTGTGTATCCTGTGATTTTTCGTGTGGCCCTTACAGTGCAAAATTTGTGGCAAATTGTTTATATGGAAAATGCCTATTAAATGAATTTTATTATCTTCCTTAACTTTGGGGTCTGCCTGTGGCGGGGTGTTTTACTTCAATGTAAATTATATAAAATACTTTACTAGTTGTTTTACTCTGCCTTTTCTTGTCTTTAGGGCTTTGTGTATGTATGACTTGTTTGTAAAATAATTTGCTCAGGAATGCAGACCTTACTTTTTTATATCTTTCTAAAGCAGCATAATGTAGCAGTAGGCACTTAAATATTTCGTCAATGTTGTCGGTAGAAATAAGCAAAATATATTCTTTTAATATATACTCAAGTATATATTTTAAAAGGAACAAAAACAAAACCAAAGCTTTAGTAAATTTTAATTTATTAGGCATTTGAGGAAAATAGTAAGATTTTTTTAAACATTTGAATAATGAATTTGTTTTCATTTTTAGGAATATATGCATGCAGTTATATTTTATCTGATTGTTACCTTAGGCCACCACTGTATATGGTAACCAAATAAACCTTTCATTATGAAGGAAATTTATTATAGACACGAATGTTCATGTTACCTTCTGAAGTAGGCCAGGTGAGGAACAGTGGGGACACATTTTATAGAATGCAGTTAACGGTCTTTGCAGGATAAATCATCTTCTGTTTATGATTTTATTGACTAAGCTTAACTTTGTACCTTCTATATAACAAAAGAGTAGATTTCAAAGGACTTGATTGTCTTAACCTATCCATTTTTTAAATAAAATAATGGAAAGTAATATATTAGGTGTAGCACTAATTTAATATTCAGTAAAATATATTCTAGCCATAATAATTATATTTCTAAGGGTTCTTTAATAAGTATAAAGAAAGGTTAAAATAATTTTCAACTGGAGCAGGTGAGAAATTTTGCCATGGGAGGGCAGTGCGCAATACCTGGTGACATTTTTGACTGCTACATCTGGAGGAGGGAGGCAGGGGAGAAACGCGCTCCTGGAATCCAGTGGGCAGAGGCTGCTGAGCATCTCCGGGTCCTAACAGGGCCGCTCCTGACAGCAAAGCACTAACCCAGCGTGTGTGTCGACAGTGCCAAAGTTGAGGAGTCCTGGAGGAGAGCTGAGCTGTGAAGCACGTGGAGCTTGGATTCAGTTTCCTGGTTGGAATTCCAGCCCTGCTGCTCACTGTGTGGTCCTGGGCAATTTACAGCATGTCTCTGAGTCTCAGTTTTATTCCCTGGGGAACGCTGTTAATATTACATCATACTTCCAAGGGTGGGTGGGAGCAGTAAATGAGATAATATATGTAAAAAGTTTAATCATGCCTGGAAAAGAATAATTATTCAATAAATAGTAGCTGGCACCATCCGTCACTGTTGTCATCTTTGTTCCAGATCCTCTTATCATTACTCTCCGGTCATAGAGGTCGTGGGCACCTGAAGGTGTTAATTTATATTTCTACCTTCCTCTGCGACTTCACAGACATCCCCAATTCTGGATGCTGGGAGGAGACACTGGGAATCTATGGTCGTGATAACTGCCACATCATGCCATTTCATGACGCTAATGAGGGACTGACAGGTGATGAGGTTATTATTTAACAGTCAGTCGCCTCTCTAGTGTTTTATCACAGTTACTGCAACAAAACAATTTCACATAAGTATTTATATAAGTAACTTGTTCCATGAAAATGTAGGGGGAAAAGTAACATAACTCTTCTGTCATTTAGAAAACCAAAAATGAAGCATGTCCCTTCTCATTATTGCTAGCAGTGACATAATTCTGAGTGATATATGTTTTGAATCCCTTATTCAGCACCATACACACAATAACACCCATCCATAACACAATAATGCCCACACATAGATGTGTGTGTGTGTAAAGGTATCAGGCTTGTTGGCTAACAATTTTGCCAACAAAATGACTTTTTAAAAAATTTTTGGCTGATGAAGAACCCAGACAAAAGAGAATATGAGGTCAGTAGTAGTTTAAATATAAAACTGAATTTTTCTATAAATTCTTTATGTAAGTAAGCTATTATGGAGGAACCTGTGGTATTTTATCATAGTCACTTCCACCAAAACTCCATAGTTGGAGCTCATTAAAGAAGGTCTCCACGCCCATTTTGCTATTGTCTTTGCAGAAGTCACTTGGTTAGTCAATAGCTGAAAAGTCTTCATACCGTCAGGTAGCCCGGCTAAAAGGGGACAACCAAGCTCTAAAGCAGCTGTCTGCAAATTCAGTGCTGTATAAAGGAAAAAGAAGATCTTTAAAAACCCATTCTGTGTCACATGTCTAGAGATACTTTGTGATCTCGGCAGAATAGGTTTGAACCTTCTTAGACTCTGAACGACTATAGTGCAGGCGTCCAACTTACAAAAGGAAATCAGTCTTAGTCTTGCCCAGGTGGTTTGGGAAGCGTTGGCAGATGATTGGGGAGGAGAGAGAGACAGGAACAAAAGGAAGATGTAACCGAAGGTCACTACGTTGTTGCCCTGTCTGTGGGAACTGACCCCTCAAGTTCAACATACAGCTCCACCATCTGCTTTCACGGCTTTATTTTACTCTCTGTGCTTCAATTTCTTGAGTGTGTAAAATTATAATTATGGGGATTAAATAAGTGAATGGTTGCAAATACCTGCTACATAGCGAAGGCTAGCATTATTATTTGCCAGAGCATAAGAGCTAATAAGGTCTTTAGGATGACTATCTAGTTCTATTGATTCTTTTCTATGTTATTCACTAGAGTAGATTTCCTCCTATTCCTTTGTTCTCATTTCTTTCCATTAGCAGCATCTCCTTGACAAAAACTAGGACTGATTAATCAAAGTAGAGACCATTTATTTCCCTATTATTGATGACAGCTCTCAGAACATCATAAATCTGTTAAAAATGGAAGCATTAACTCAAACAAAGGGCTGGGACAGGTTACCTGTTAAAATTCTAGCATGAATTTCTTATTAAATGTATATCAGTAGAACTAATTATTATTATTATAGTAGATTCTTTTGAAACTTCATATAATCATATAAAATAGTTGTGAGTGTTTCTCATTTTACAGATGAAGGAAGTACCTTTGAGAGTTTACCTGAGAAAGATACAACAATGACCTTTGACAGGCTTTCAGAACCAGGATGTTCATGGCTCTTCTTAGACAAACCAGATCATCCATAAGTCTTATTAATATTAAATTTGTCTGAATTACACTCAGGATTCTTAGGAAAGTTCAAAAGTTGTGTGGGAAGAATAGTACATAAGCCATCATGAGCCATTGATAACTAAATACAAACAATTTTAGTTGTCTTGAATTTTATTATTTCATAAATAGTTTACCTCCTCCAGAAAAGGTTTTATATGGCAAACCTGAGTATCATTTAATTTGCTGTTAACTTGTAGGACACTGGAGGAAAGTTGGTGAGGCCTGCAGCTCTTTGGGGGGATTGGGAGGAGTACTTGGAAGAGAGGCAACGGGGAGAAAGGCTGACGTGCAAGGAAGAGAGGACCCACCCCAAACTTGACTGATGTCATACTTGGCCTTGGCCATGACTGTGAAGAGGGCATAAGGACATTCTGAGGGAAACACAATTCATCTGGCATGAGCCAGAATGAATGAATGAAATGCTTGTAAATTAGGGCCAGAGAGGCAATTTAAAGGATCTCGTTTGTTTCGTGCAGCCATATTTTAGAAGTTGCCTGATGTTTGGAGGTACTGACAGCAGGCAGAGAAGCCTGTTACTGATGCCTCAGGAATCCATTCTTCTGAGAGCAAGAATCTTTTTAAAAAGGAAACCGAACTTGCTCACCTGAGAATCTATAAAATTGACTTGACAACTCAGCAAAAGTTCTTACGGTGCTTTAGACATACCAGACATTCAAATATTCCTGTTTCCGTTTATAGAAGGTGTTTGCTTTTTAAGTCATTCCTTTATTTCATTTAAAATTGTGGATAAAAATTAAGAAAAATGTGATACTATCAGTCAATAAATGTCAATTTTGTTCCAGGATTTTGACCTAGATTTGATCCAACACTACACGTCTTTGAGGAAATAATTTCACTCCAGGCACAATCTCTAATTCTCATTTTTGAGACTTACTAAAAGTTGACACTAGGTGGTGCTCGCACCACACTTCTTACTGACCCAACAACCATCAAATTTTTAATCAAGGTTGCCAGAGGTTTACAATTTGTTTGTTTTACCAATTCTAGCTACATGTGTTGGTTGGGATTATTACAAAAACAAAGCAACAGTTACAATTAGAAACTACAGTATTTCAAATACTTTTTCCCAAAGACACTTTAGAAAGTAAATTATAATAGGAAGTATACTAATCTCTGGCTATTACTTTTTTAGGACATCTCTGTTCTTTGGTACCAAAAGAAGATTCTCTAATAC